AGTCTGGCAGATGGCTCTTCCGCCTGGATCTTTTTTTTCTAGCTTTCTCCCAATACAGAGTGGAGAACACTGGCCAGGCTCCTTTCTCTGAGGACAATGGGGGGAAAAGCCATTCCGAAAACACTGGGCAGCAGCTGCAGGGCTCGGAGTCTCTAAGGACGCTGTGCCACCGGCCGGGCATGTCACCTTCCTCGCCCGTGATGGTGGCTAATCGACAGGGGGAGGCAGGAAAGGAAGTCTGAGCAAGAACGAGTCATTTATCACTCTGCGCGAGCAAAGACATCTGTGCGGGGCTGTATTCCCTCTGCCCCGATAAGAGCGTTACTCACCACCCAGAGAGGAAAGACTGCAGCGTGTGGTTGCAGCCCATTGAAACCACTTCCTTAAATGGCATGACATCAGATTTCATCTTATAGATGGTTTGTGCCCGTTTTTTGAAAAACAAGCTATCATTAACAAGGGAAAAGTGCCCTTCAGAAACCGAAGTATAGCCTTGTTGTGTATTTTGCGTGTATTCAGATTGCCTTTTGGCCTTAGGTCTGACAGAAGAATCTATTGGGACCCAGGAGAGTCGACTTTGGAATATTAAGCCCTTTCTAGGGATTTTTTTTTTTTTAAGAAATCTATTCCACGCACAGATTGAAGACACAAAACAGCCTGATGTCAGTCTCGAGTGGGGTGGCAAGCTTCTCCTTTCATTTTTAAATCTGATTGGTTTTGTTCATTCTCTGATTAAATTCTCTTACGAGTGCAGATGACACAGGTTTCCAGGGAGGAAGATTTCTGATGCATCTCTCACACACAAGAGTCATCACTCCCAAGATTTTGCTATTAAGAAGGGCCGCCCCTTTCCCTCCGCATTTACCCCTGAGCATTCCAAAGGCCTATTGGGTTTTCGTTACCTGGTGGGATCCCGGGCTTCTTGTGCCTCTTCTAATAGAGAAACCGCAGTAATGTCCCCAGAAGCCATGACAACATGAAATTGTGGCTTAGATACTAAGATTTACTAAAGTCTGCTCCAGGAGGCTCCCCACTTCCCTACACACACACACACACACACACACACACACAAAGTCTGCTCCAGGAGGCTCCCCACTTCCCTACACATACACACACACTCCACACACACACACACACACAGTCTGCGGAGAATTCATCCTGCAATCATAGGAATACTCTGGTTTTGTCTGCATTCACTTGGTGAGTCTTCAAAACTGAGGAGAATTCATCCTGCAATCATAGGAATACTCTTATTTTGTCTGCATTCACTTGGTGAGTCTTCAAAACTGACTTTCCCTCATAGAGACTCAGTGCAGAAGAACTAACCCCCAGAGTCTCAGAAGAGTTATCAGGTCTGAGAAATAACCTTTTTCACCCACGAGGCTGTTCTGTGATGGGTCAGCCCTCACTGAGCTTGCCTGTCCCGCTGGGGAGCCTCATGGAAATCCCACTGGGTCCTCCCCGTGTTCCTTCGGAGGCTCACCAACAGGTCAACAGAGTGGCCATCCCTGGGCTCATTCGGGCCCTAGTGATTTTTGTTGCTTCTAGAAGTGTTCATTTTCAGTTTATCCAATATTTCAAGCATACAATAAAGTTCAAAAAAATCATTTAACAGAACTTCATGTATCTCCCTAAGATTTTTCAAGTATTGACATTTTGCCATTATATTAGATTTTTAAGATAAAATATTACAGGTACGGTAGAAAAATCCCTCCTTACCTAATTTCCATTTCATTTTCTCCTTGCTACCCAGAGTAATCACTAACTTGAAGTTTATGAGTATTATTTCCACTTTATTGCATATATGTGACATAGAAAAAATATATAACGTTGTTTTAAAAATGTATATAAATGGTATATCTACTTAATACCACTTGTATCCTTGAGTCTTTTGAAAGCTTCTTGTAATACTCATTTTAAGAATAGTTTTCATATTGGTACATTAAAATTGAGTACATTTATTTTTTAATGCTATAAAAGATTCCATTATAAGATTATACCACAACATAACCATTTCTTTATGATAGACATTGGAGTTACAGCATTCTTTCAAGAAATACATAATCCCTATTTTATATAAACTACATAATATCATTGAAAAGAGAAAAAGTTACCCAATTCATTTTATAACTCTGATTTAACCTTTATACCAAAACTAGACAAGAAGAGTACAAGAAAGAAAAAGTGTGGGCTAAACTCACATTTGAATGTAAATGTAAAAATCTTCAGTTAAATATTAGTCAAACTGAACCCAGCCATGTGTAGTAAATTAAGTGTATGCAAAGTGTGCGAGTTATTAATGTGACTCATCACATGAACAGAATAAAGGAGGGAAACAATGATTTTTGCGTAGATGTAGAACCATCATTTGATCAAGTTCAATAACTATAAATGACTTAAGAATATGAAACCTTCAAAAACCTGGATAGAAACACTTCCTTAACCTGATAAAGAATATTGACCAACACTCCCAGCAAGCATGCACTTGGTGTTGAAGCATATTGTGTAGTGCCTCCCCTGGGAGCTTATTATAAATGCAGACACGGATTCCACCCTGTGGAGTTCCCTCATTGAGTTCCCTCTTTTCTTTCAATGATTGCTATTACTTTAAATAATTGTGTATGTATGTGTGTTTTTTAGTTTTATCTATTTCTATACATGTCATTGAGTGTTTTCCTTAAGTTTGTGGAATGGGGGCTATGTCAGCTCAGCAGCTATGGTGCTGGAATTTCTCTCTTGGCAATTTTCTGGGCCTGAAGACCCAAGAGACAGCAGAGACCACTCTGGAGGAGGCAGAGTAGTTGGGCTGCCATAGAGTTGGCTTCTCTCCTATGCCAGGGAGTTGTTGCTATTCACACCTTCTTATTTTGGCTTCATCTGAGAAGCCATTATGATGGATCTGATGAGGATAAAAATATTGTATGAAACCCCTATGGCTGTATTTTACCATAGCCCTTCCTAAGGATTTGATATTTCCAAGATTCCTACAGTGGCATCCTATATAATAAAGATGTACAGTGGGGCCTTGACTTACGAGTTTAATTCGTTCCATGACGGAGCTCGTAACTCAAATTACTCGTATGTCAAATCAAAAGTGAACGAGTGAGACACGTGATGCTGGGCTGATGTTGTGGCGTTCACTGTGACGTTCGCTGCGCCAACTAGCAGTGGGGTATCTGAAGCTGGCTCGTAACCTGAATTTTAGCTCACAACTCAAAGCAAAAAATCGTCCGAGAGACGGCTCGTATCTCGAAAAACTCGATAGTAGGGACACTCATAAGTCAAGGCCCCACTGTAATATGCAAATGGTCATTAACGACCGGATCACGAATTAGTAGGAGGGTGGGGCAGCAAGCTTCAAGCAGGTGGCGGAGAGCTACAGGAGGGGGTAGAGCAGCAAGCTGTGAGGGAGGAAAGGGGGGGCAGGGGGCAGTTACAGGAGGGCGGGGCAGCGGGCAGAGAGCTACAGGAGAGCAGCAGTGAGCTAGTGGCGCACAGACTCATGCACAGGGCTACTAGTTGAAATATAAAAATACTATTAATCATAATATTGCCATCAATGTCACACTTCTATTTAACAGCTTTAAAAATATGTTTCATGGTGGTTCTCAGGGTTGAAGATGGAGAGATGTTTCTAGAAAGCACTTTTCATGGTAGCAAACAGACTTTCTCTAAACTTTTCTGTTAATGAACAAAGGATTCCAGAGACTGTGAAGAGCAACATAGGGCCTGGCCATGCTGAGCCAAAGAACAATCAATACATTCTTGACTGTAAGGTCACATGCATTAAACAAGGCAGTTCTGATGCCAAATCAATCCTGCATTGTATATTTCCTACAGCAGATATTGAGATATAGATCTGCTGTCGGGGGAGCAAGAATGTCATCAGGAAATATCAGTTCAGACAAATCTGGGTTACCACCCGCAGGGAAGGACCAGGATTGATTGTACTCTGTCTCACTCTGTGGTGAAAATGTCAGGTCAGAGTGAATATTCATGTAGCCCTTGGAAAGAGAGAAGGAGGAATCAATAAACTAAACACCCTACCTAATAATGGAACTGTTTTCTCCAAGGCGAAGTCCTTTGTTCTTGAACTTGGTATTCCTGTCCCTGATATGTTGGTAATGTTGTCTTAGAAATGCAGCAAAAAGATTTCATAGGAAGCCTAAGGCCAGATTTATTCCTTAATTCTGGAATAAGGGTTATGTTAACATGGTTCTGTCTAGGCCAGTGGTCGGCAAACTCATTAGTCAACAGAGCCAAATATCAACAGTACAACGATTGAAATTTCTTTTGAGAGCCAAATTTTTTAAACTTAAACTATATAGGTAGGTACATTGTTATTAACTTAATTAGGGTACTCCTAAGGCTTAGGAAGAGCCACACTCAAGGGGCCAAAGAGCCGCATGTGGCTCGCAAGCCACAGTTTGCCGACCATGGGTCTAGGCATTGCACTAGAAGTCTGGTTAAAATTTAAATGAAGTTTCTCTTAATTCCAAGGAACAACCTAGACTCTTTGAAGCTATGTCAAGAGAGTACCAGGCAAAAAAGAAATCCTGTGTTTTTAGTCTTGATTTGCAATTCACTTGTTTTGTGATCTTGCAAAAGCTACCCAGTCTCTGCATATCTCTATACATTGGCTTGTATGATAATATTCTATTTTTCTTTGTAGAGTTGTTGCACAGGATATAATAGATGACATACATGTGTTAGAAAACAAGGCCAGAATATGAAGGCAGTTGCTCCCAAATCATGGTTTTGGCATTTGTCTAAATTTAATAGACTCACCTCTCCTAATCACACCCAAGAAATCTCCTGCCATGTATGTGCATACAGTTTCAAAAGAGCCCCTGTGTTCTCTCTTCCCAAAATCATTTTTTCAAAACTTGCTGGCATAGGTCAGGTTTCAAGAGAGAGCATAGTGCGTTCCTGGTCAATCGACCTGGTTTTTTACTTGAAACTAAATTAATCACTTTCATTGTTTCTTCCAAAATTTTCAGGCACCTTTTAAAAATGAACAAGAGCAGCTCTGACTTGGAAAAAGTGAGCCAGGGCTCCGCAGAGAGCCTCAGCCCATCCTTCAGGAGCGTCCACGTCAGCTTCACCACAGGCTCCACGGACAGCCTGGCCTCAGACTCCAGGACCGGCAGCGATGGAGGTAACAGACTTGACCTTGACAGGGAGGCTTAGATTCTCCTGAGTCTGTAAGGCCAGGCCCAGGTTAACTGCCGGAATGTGGAAGGGCTGAGCTATGGGGAAGCAGGGGACTTGGTTAGAAAGTCTGCAAGGTCGGAGGCCTCTGGGGGACCTTGCCGAAGGCGGCAGCCCCTGCCTTGACTTTTCCAAACAAGTCTGACACCCCCCAGCCCCCAGCCCCCACCCTCACCCCCCGGTGTTTTACTTTTACATCTAGACTTCAAAATGTCCTCATTTGAAAGACACTACAGATGCAGGGGCTTTCTCAAGGATGCTTACCCTGCTAATTGTATCTAGAGGTTAATTTTAGTTCAAGCTGTTGTGACAATAAAAGCCTAAGGAGGCAGGTGAACGAGGCTTTTTGCTCCTAAAGCAAAACAGCCCCTTAGCCTCTCTATCACAGAAACGTGTGTCAGAGTAATCTATTCATCCGTCGCTCAGGGTCTGTCGGTCAACCCCGGCACTGAGCTAGACCTACTTTCTGGGCCCTGCTTTCTCCATGAAGTAGACTCTACCAAGGAGTAGTTGACTTTAATTCCCTAGTGAATGTATGGCAAGGTGCCTCATCCCATACTGCACTCTCCAGTTCTACACAATGTATCGCCTGGCAACAAGGTGGGAGGAGGCAGAGTTGAAAGCATGTTGAAAGATTCCTAATTCCTTGGGTAATGAGCCACCTATGTGTATGTCTGCTCTCCATTTCTGTCCTTGGGATTAGTTCTCGGGGTTGGGTACATGCCAACCACAGTTTCCTCTTTCTTGGCAACCCTCTGTGTTCCTCTCACTCTTTCTCCCTCCCCCTGCCTGGTGCTCTCTTGTGTGCGTGCATGCACTTACATGTGTTCCCATGCACACACTTGGACACAGCAGGTATTTACATAAATGTCTATTGAATTAAAAGTATGCAGGCTTCATTAGGCCACCATCCATTCCACTTTCTGGATAAAGCTCTAAGGCATAATATGTGGGTATGTCCTGATTGGATATGTTCCTGAAAAGGAACTCTTGTTTTTCTGTCGTTGTGATGGGCAGTATTAAAACCTCTCACCCTTTTCAACACTTTTTGTGTGTGTCCTCTCCTGCGTTTCTCCTGGACTTGGTTGTAGCATGTTAGGTTTCGACATGTGCCTACATGACTTCCCCTCACACTCCTGTAGAAGTATTACTTCTCAGTAGGCGTTGTCAGAGTAGAGAGTCCCATTGAAAAAGTTACTGTCACCAATATTTTTCTATCTAAAAGACGAGTACTACTAGGGCAAACACATATGTTATAAGTCAGTCTGTGGTGTGTTCTGATGGGAAACTTCTGATAGCTCTAACTTAAAAACAGGAAATATCTCAGCCTTGATTCGAGTGGGATGTGACCAAAGAGGATTTTCTTTTTCTGCAGATTTTCCTGGGCTTCTATCTTTTTCCTCTTCCCATCCCATTGTGCAAACATTCCACAAGGCAGATTATTCCACAGAGGGCTGGGTCGGGCCCTTGAACCATGAGTCCCTGTGCTGGCCAGCCCTGCCCCGCTCTCTTGGGATGTGACCAATTCTATGGTGGGGCCCTCATCGGCAACCTACCAGCTGGTGGTGATGAGAGCTGGACTTAATGGCTTCAGCTCTTTGCTTCTCAGAACCAGCAAATCATGTGTTTGCTCCCAGAGCTCTTAAGGTCTGTGTAGGAAGATAAGGTTAAAAACACGTGACACTGCCCTAGCCGGTTTGGCTCAGTAGATAGAGCATCGGCCTTCGGACTGAAGGGTTGTGGGTTTGATTCTGGTTAAGGGCACGTATCTCAGTTGCAGGCTCAATCCACTGTTGGGGTGCATGCAGGAGGCAACCAGTCGATGTGTCTCTCTCACATCGGTGTTTCTCTCTCTGTCTCTCCCCCTCCCTTCCACTCTCTCTAAAAATCAATGGAAAAATATCCTTGGGTGAGGATTAACAAACAAACAAAAAAAAAACAACAACACATGACACATGGATGGAATAAGCTAGGAAACTGGGCTGCCCAGAACATGAGTGCTTGTAAAGGCTTCTGGAAGGAGAAGTCAGTGAGAGCTGATGGAGGGTTCGGAGAAGACTTTTCGAGAAGATGGGACTTGAGCTCGTGTCTGAAGTGTGGCAAGAATTGAGGAGGAACGGGCTTTGCAGGCTAAGGAGACACTAAGGAGGAACAAAGGCTCAGGGGAGAGGGTGAGACCAGCCTGCCACACTTCCGTGGAGCAGGCGGGGGGAAGGGACGTGAGGTTGGTGGGAAGCAGAGGCTGATTGTCCAAGGCTCTAGAAACTGATTGGTGGAGGTAGGAAGAAGGGAGCCTCTGGGGGTCGATGAGTATAAAGATGACACCTAACCTGGACGTTTTTGAATTAAAATGATTACATTTTTATGATTATTCCACTATCGTGATCCAGTTATTCAATGGAAATGCATTTCAGAATTTGGATTCCCAGATCCACAAGAAAGTATCCTTAGAGCAAACTATTTCTTACTACTGCTCTTGTGTATGGCTCTGTCGCCAGAACCATGAGTTGAAACTAGCAAGAGACCAAAGGGGCACTGTGTCATTCATTCTCATATTCTCTCTCTCTCTCTCTCTCTCTCTCTCTCTCTCTCTCTCTCTCCTTCTAACATCCCTTAAACATCGATCCAGAGAATATATAGAACCACTGGTCATGAAATGCAAGAAACCCTTCATTCAGCTTCTCATCACTAACCAAGGCCGCTTGCTTTAGGGCTGTTATTGAATAGTTACCTTTCAGTCCCATGAGTCTTTACTCACTTTTACTGCGTATCCAAAATATCACCCTTCGTGCCTCCTGTTACTATTTGTCACCTGGTGCTGAAGCTGAGAGAGTGGCTCAGAATAAGAGAGGTAGAATTAGTTCAAGCGGAAGATCCTTGAAACCAGAGCGTAGCGTCTACCTCTAATATGATATTTTGACATAATATACAGTTAGACTCTATACTTATTCTGACAGTAGGAATTCACTAATGAAACGATGCCTTGACTTCGCACCCACAGTCCAGGCTGGCCACAGTGAGGTCAGCACGAAGCCATTCCAGGCCATATCATAGTAGCAGCTTGTGTAAACTCCTTGGGAGCGCGTCAGGATTCAAGGTTAAAAGTTAGATTTCTCCTATTCAGGCTTCATGACAAAAAAAAAAGTTTTAAATTTTATAAGAAAAGCAAACAACTGTAATCAATAGCTTTGTCCCATTTTTTAAACAAGTCTGTCTAAATATGTTTACAGATATTTTTGTATCAATATTAACTTTATGTCTTTCCGCTTGTATCGCATTTCATGCTCCTCAAAGCACATCTGTTATCCCATTTGTCCATGTGGGCAGTTCCGTTGAACAGTGAGTCAACTCAGTGGAAGGAAGAATCCGTCTAAGCAGTTGTTTAAGCTGGTGTGGGAGGGGCAGAGGGCGCGTGTCAGGACAGATCTGTGAATGCTGCCCGGGAAGCTCATCAGCAGTGAGTGCGGGGTGGGTGGGAGAAGGGATCGGCTAAGTGAAATGGTCTTCAGAAGACGCCTGTGCTTCAAATGGTTCCTTTTATTTATTTTTTAAAGTATATTTTTATCGATTTCAGAGAGGAAGGGAGAGGGAGAGAGAGAGAGAGAGAGAAACATCAATGATGAGAGAGAATCATTAATCGGCTGCCTCCTGCATGCCCTCCGCTGGGGATTGAGCCCACAACCTGGGCATGTGCCTTTGACCAGAATCAAACCCAGGACCCTTCAGTCCACAGGCTGACGCTCTATCCACTGAGCCAAACCAACTAGAGCCAAATGGTTACTTTTAAATATGCAAACCTTATGTGCTGCTAAGATGATTTCCTTTCTGGCTTAGGATAACAAAATTCAGTTCGGCAGTTTAACAAGCATCTATGAATGTCAGGTTCCCATAGTCCAGGAGATTAGAGAGTGCTTTATTGAACTGAAACTGTAGGCACGAACACTAGATAAGAGGTCTAATTATACAGTGAACACAGTTATAAATCGCATGAAGCTTTGTACCAGGGCAGTGTCGGTATTGTGTATTTTGATAGCTAGCAGACCAAAGAGACAGAAAGTTAATTAAGTATCTTGACAGTAGTCAGCTTGTTGTTCTCAATAATAATGCCAGGTAGGTTTTTAAAATATATATATTAATTCAATCATTACTTTGATAAATATTTCTTGAATGTAAACTGTGTGCTGGGTACAATTCCAGATGTTGAAGATATAGCAGTGACAACCCCCTCCCCCCCCCCAAAAAAAATGTCCAGTCCTTCTTTCATGGAGCTCACATTCTAGTGGGGAGAGGTGGACAGTGAGGAAGATAAAGGGGTGAAGTAGCCAGTGTGTCACACGGCAGTAGGTGCTACAGGGGAAATTAAGCCAGGACGGTGGCGGGGAGAGTGGGAGGACCTATCAGGGGGAGAGGCGGCAAGTCCACAAAGATCAGACATCAGTCAGAATAAGTGGCAGCCTGACCTTCACTGAGCCTTTGCTCCCCACTCAGGCTACTATCTGAGAAGAAATAGTATTTTTTAAAATATATTTTTATTGATTTCAGAGGTCGAAGGGAGAAGGAGAGATAGAAACAGCAAGGATGAGAAAGAATCATTGATCAGCTGGCTCTTGCATGCCCCCTACTGGGGATCGAGCCTGCAACCTAGGCATGTGCACTGACTGGGAATCCAACTGGTGACCTCTTGGTTCCTGGGTTGGTGCTTAACTGCTTGGCCAGACAGAAATAATATTTTTTTAAAGGCAGTCTTGACAATGGGGGAAAAAGGAGACATATGTAGTACTTCAAACAATAAAGAATTTAAATTTTTAAAAAATATATATTCATTTTAAAATAAAAAAAATAAAGGTGGTCTTGAAAAGGGCATCTAAAACTCTCTAGCTACAAATAGTGTGTTTTCAGACCATTAAACAGACTTGTTAAAGCACTGGATCCTAAATTGATGGGTTC